GGAAGACGATGCTCCCAATGGGATCGGAGTGGTGGTAAAGCACCCTCCCCATTCCCTCCACTTCCACAAACACAAAAGACACCCCCAGCCACTCATGAGAGATTAGATTTCTCCACCTACCTCTACCCGCATTTGTAGTCAGCAGCAGATGCCTATCTTTGCCTGTTCTACTGCAAACAGCAGCAAAAACACTTCTGTTGTTTAGCGCTGCGGTAGCAGATAAAGGCCTGCCAGGATCTCTGGAGTGTGTAGACTCTGGGAGATAGTGTGCCCGTCTGAGCAGCATCCACTGACACACCAGCAGATGGAATATGTATACAGCACACTTTATACACTAAATTCAGCTGTTAGTATTAAGATTGTGATTAAATATTGTTTAAACCTTGGCAGTTGGAGTCCATTAAAGGAAACACAAACCTGTGTTTTATTTTGTATTTCTGGTACTCATTCCTACTGATGGTTTACATTTACCTCACCAACTTCTACAAAAAAATCTCTAAAAATAAAATTCAGCAGCGTGATTCTAGGGATGTCGGTTGGTTTGCCATTTTGTTTCAGAATGAAGTATCTCAACCACTATTGGTCTCCAGAGGACGATGCTTACTGAATTTGGTGGTCCTCGGACTTGCCATATACCGCCATCATCAGGACAAAAGATTTATCTCTCCAATACTTCGATATATGACCAAATACCTGCAAAACATTCAGCCTCAGCTTTACTTGCTAATTTAAGATGACTATATTATTAAACCTCCAAACTGAGAAACCTTAAAACCTTAAAAGTGTACCTACTGTTCATGTACATGTATGCGCTAATGCTTGCGCCATAGGTGTTTTCATCAGGAAGGGGGATAATTATTTCAGTGTTTAGCACACCTACCTTTCAAGACCATGGACACCATCAAAGTGTAAGCCTTCTGGAGCTCTTCAGAAAAGGCTGACTTTTCTTTTTAGCATGACAGCTAACTGTTATACTTTCTGTCAGAAAGTCATAGCTATTGCTTGCCTATGACTCAGGCTAGTGACAGGCTTGAGAATGACACATTGATTGACATTTTAGTGCTTTAGAGATGTTTGTCGATCTAGTACAAACCAGGACGTCACCATAGTCTAATTAGCAAATATTAGCATTGCTACACACTAAACTAAGATGCTGAATATAGTAAATGTTACATTTGCTCAATACACATTATGAATGCTAGGAGAAGCTCATGTTTTTCATTAAGTCAATTTAAAAGTCCGATGTGTAACATTTAGGAGGCTCTACTGGGGGGAACATTCATAGGTAGGTTTTCATTAGTGTCGTTGTGTTTTTGTTAACATAGAATGAGATGTTTTTATGGTGTGACTGACAATTCAGAAGTCTTATACCACACTGCAAAAACACAGCCTAGACAGTAAAAGTCTTGTGAGATAAACAAAACTGTTCCAACTTTGACAGATAGTTGTGTGTTCATGTAGGACCCCATCTCCTGGAGTTTGAAGATGATTGAAAAACTGTTTTTTTAGGGTCTTTGAAACCTGTGTGGTTGTCATTAGCTGATGAGTAATGTTGTCTTAACTGATAGGAATGATGCTTCAAACTACAAAAGGCAACAAGACCAAGGTTGAGTCGAAAAAAAAATATTTATCTTTAATCTTGTACTTTGATAAGGCTGTCTGGGATTGTGGAGCTTTGACAGAGCTTTGTAGCCGTGCTCATCCTGTGAATGAAGATCCCGTCTAGCCATGCTGTTAGTCATGGCCACCAACAATGAATGCAGCTGCCTCTCAGAAACAGAACTACACCACTAAAACTTATTTCCACTGTAATTCAACAAATGGTATTTAAGCAGAGCCCCAGATTGCCTTTAGAAAGTCACAGTTACATTTCTAGGAAGCCTTTTGTTTGGTGCATTAGACCAAAATAACACAGGCCATTTTTTCTAACAGTGGACTGAAATAAAAGCTGTTATATGCTGCTCCAGTCGTCATGCCTGAAGTTCAGCTAAATAAGATCAATCGGCCAGCATGCTGTTGTTCTGATGCTGGGACAGGACAGGACAGGACTCATCACACCCCGCTGTGCTCATTGAAATGACATGTGCCCTATCCGTTGCCTCTGACCTTTGAACTCCACTGAGCTAGACCTGACACCAATCAATGGATAGAAACAAGGCCAGGCACGTCATTGCACCATTTAGTATACATTCAATAATGAGGAGAAGAAAACTTATAAGACAGCCAAAAATGATATTTGTTTAGAATGTACGCAGCAATTCTGGGTCCATTTTGATGGTTAGAGAATGTTATCATATGTGGATAACGTGCAGGCAGAGCTCATGTGAGATCACATTGAGGTATTTTGAGCAAGGAAAGGTTTTTTTTGCAGTAAATGTCACACTAAATGTCAGATTTACTGGGATAGATGAAAAAATACCAGATTAAATGGGTGTTAGATGGAAGTTGTTAACTTACATTTGTGCCTTTTCAAATCTTATCTACCTTATTTCATACTGAAAACTTTATTAGCCTACCTACATTATAGTGTGCAATTGATCAGTCTGTAAAAGATATATAATAAACACATAAATTGCATCAAATCCATATATATATATAGAGATTTTTTTATAGATATTTTATCCTCCTTCTTGTATCTGCTGTCACCCTCATGCCATTCCTAAGAAATGGTGGTCAAGGTCTTTACTGCATTGTTAATTACAAAGTCATTGCCTTCAGGCTCTATAATACATCACTGCAATACTGCGCTTCATTCAGGGAAGGGCCCATCGATCTGTTCACACACTGCTCACACGCACGGAGCCGATGGCTGAAGTTCATCCCACAGTCAGTGTTTTGTTTTTATAATCCAAACCCAGATTACCCAGATTACCCAGATTAGATCCATTCATTCTCAAGTAGTGGCTGTGGCCCTTTATTTGGCTTTATATGGGGAGGTAAGGAAATAAAGAGTCTGTTTTAAACAGTTGTGTATTGGAAACCTAATTGATTTCATCATAGTTTTTATTTTTCTGAACTCAATCTCATTCGTTTTCTGAACTGCATTTTAGCTGTTGTCTTGAGGTCTAATTAGAGTAGATTTGACAATGTAAGTCTTCTTAACTTTGCAATGACAATCCACAAAATGTTTACTTATGTGTGACTCAATGTGTAAATTTCTAATTTATATTCTAATAATAATAATAATAATAATAAATTATTCAATTGTAATACCTTCTCTACTCCTCTATATCCTCTACCCAATAATAACCTGACCTGCTGGGTAATAGCAGGGTCCCATTTCATGGCAAGATAAAGTACGTGATATTGGATTGGTACATAGACTTGCGTACTCGCCCATACCCAATCCAGCATTTTAGGCAATACTTGCAGCATTTTCTGACAACAACAACCTGACTATGTAGCAAAGTACATAGTAAGACCCTCTTCATGCATTTTCAAATGTAAAAGCTGCCCAGTATAACCAGTTCTCTACTGGTGGGAATGTGCCACCACTGCGCTAGTTCAGGCTCCTCAGCACTAATTATTCACAGGGTAACATCTTTTCTTTCACTTCCCTCACTTATATTTTCCCATCTTCTATTACAAAACTGAGGGGATGAAGACACAAACAGTGAGAAAAAGCAGAAGAAGTTATACAGTCGGAGAAAATACTGTCACGGGTTGTTTAGAACAGATAACTGAAAAAAAACCCAATCACTGATGTTGTTCTTGGTGTGGTCATTTTCCTTTTTCCACTCTCACACAAGCTACGTGGTTGTACGCGATCATCCTCTATTAGTGTTACTCCTCTCTACTGTTACAGGATGAAGAGCACAACGGGGAATAAATACTGAGTAGCAACCATGCATATATCATTTACAACTCCACGTCATTCCCAACTGTGTTTTTCTCTTTTTTAAAACAAAAAAAAAACAAAAAAACACAAGTCAGTTGCTACTTTACAGCTGGACTACTGCTAGATTAGAATATCTGTTTAGAGGTTTAAAGTAGAATAGCACAGAATTCATTTGACTGTATTTCTCTCTGTCACACACACACACACACACACACACACACACACATATTGTCACAGTATATCTGTGCCACCCGGGCCTCTCTCTTGCCTCTGAGGATGTCCTGACCACAGGGAACCTCAAGGTGGCTTTGCTGATAAAATAACATTAAAAAAAATAAAAAAAATAAACTTTCCCTTCCAGCCCCGGGATGTTCTTCCCACAAAGGCAGAAAGCAGATAGGATTGTTGACTTGCAGCTAATTCTATCTTCAGTGCACACAGTGTGTTTATTTCTACATTTCTTTTCCATTTCAGAAATGAGAAATTTTGCCTTTTCCAAACATTAAATAATATTTAATAATGGGATAAATAATTGGTTGCCATCTGTATCAGTTTTTAAGTTATACCAGTGCTGCCTGAGGTGCCATTAGTGAGTGGGGGTCTCAGTATTGCCCAGGGTGCCGCTTTGGGACCCAAAGCATTGGTATTTGACAGCCTGGGAATGAGACTCAGCAATTAAATGTCCTTTTTGGCTCTGATTGGTTGTTTTGGAACAGGCACGGTGGATTCATTAGGAGCACTGTCTCATGTACTACACTCTGGATAAAGTGAAAGTTCCAGCAAATATGACACAAAGTTATTTAAAAAAAATTAAAGTTACCTGCTGCCGCTTTAAAAGTTAGGCATTAAATACCCCTCAGACCTCATTTGTAATAAAAGGGAGAAAAAAAACCCCCACAAGAACAAAAGTGTGCCTGTGTGTTAAACAGCTCAGAGTGTGTTGCGATCCCTCTCACTGCTCTCACTCAGGGAGGGGTTGAGGGGGGGGGTGGAGCTGTAGCCAAGTCATTCCCTCGCCACCTTTGATGTATCTTTAACACATTTATGAATTTGCCTCTCTTCATGTTTAATTAGCAGCCTTCTCCCTCTGCTGAGTGGAGCCTAGCCTGATTTGATGTGTGCTGTCACGTAACTTTGTGTGTGTGTGTGTGTGTTTTCACAGGCACAGAAGAGAAGAAAGTCAAGCCAAAGAAAGAGAAGATGAAGGAGAGGCGGGAGAGATGGCTCAACAGTGAGTTATATCAACAATTAGCACTTTAGTAGGAATGTACAGACACTGTTGGCAGATACCACACTGATAGAGTGAGACATTATTTACACTTAACAATAGCACTTCTGACTATATGGTGTACCACTCTTTCTTCTAACAGTGAACCTGGGATGTACATTTTTAATGCAATACATTAAAATTACATTTTAGACAAGCAACTGTAGATTCTCCCTCTATTGTGTCTTCTTTATTTAGCTTTCTTTTTGTTTATTGCAGACTCTCCCTTTCTTGCCCCAGTTAGTTAGTTTGGCAGTAGGGACTACGTTATGTGAGACTTCCGTTTCTTCCCATGAGTATCAGGTGATTGGCAGCAAAAAGAGAAAAACTTAATAGCAGCGGTGAGCTATATTTAAATAATGGCTTGATGGATTATCTAGCACTGTGGAGGTGACTGGCTGAAGAAAATGAGCACTGATACCTGAAACTGAAGACTATGTACGCTGAGGGGAATAATGAAAAGAGCAGGAGTAAGCTTAAAGGTTATATATTTATATGAGATTTCAAACATTAATATAACAGTAAGTTATTAGCTATGTAAAGATATAGTGGATTCATGGTGTCCTGAGCAGAGAGTGACATCATGCGCCCTCTGCCTGTGTTGCTATCGAAGCCTCTCTGTGACTCCCTCCAGTAACTCAGCAGAGTGACCGAAACTGCTGTTTTCCTCATCTGTGTCGCTGAATGAAGGTTTTATTTCGACCAAAGCAGAGTTTGTGATTGTTGGAACAGTGGAAAGACTAACAAAGACTGCGTTTGGTGAGATTTTGTTTCTGTCCACATTGAATGAAGTTACAATGTTAGGATAACTGTTGAAATAACACTGAAGCCAATGGAAAATGCCCCCTCAAGCGAATGTTTTCACCTTCTGTATGACTAACAATAGTTGTTTGTAACTTTTATTTATATGGAATATATATAGATAGGAGCCTGTTGCATATGTGTACTGAAAATAATGAAAATCTCTAATTTGTATCTGTTTTTTGGGCATTTTCTTCTATTTTAGGAAAAAAGAAAGACTAAATATATCATGATAATAAGTTGGCTGGATCTCAATCAACGACTTGGTATCTTTGAACTCATAACAAGTTAGATGTCAAAGATAGGCACACATATGCAGTGTGCAGTTTTTTATGGAAAACACAAAATTTTGGAAATATCTTGACATTGTCCATTGATAAAAGTGTGATATTTAATTTGATATAAAAATGTCATCAAATTTGTACTGTTAGTTACTTACCCAAAGTATGTCTGTACGAAATTTCAAAACTTTAGACCAATCAGAACAAATGTTATGGCATTTTTCCATATCATACTAAATATAGTCTTTCGGGTCTTAGGGTTCATATTGTTAAACATACAATGAAGACTAATTTTACCTGCTTTATGAGGTTGCAGTAATGACCGCAAATATCTTAGCCATCTATTCAATAACTTTCTAGCTGACGAGTGAGTCTGTGAGTTTTGGCTCAAGGTCCGTCTTTGAGTCTTTCTGTAATTATAACTCCTCTCCCCAACACCACCGACATCATCACTGCCGCCATCATCTCCCATAATTGCGATCAGGCCTGTAACCGTACCCTTGTGCTGAGCCAATCAATTCTCGGGTAACACTACACATATCCGGTTCAGGCGTATAATTAGGTGCTAATGGCTGTGCGACTCAGTCCTGCTGAAACCCGAGAGTGGCTCCATGGCTGACAGTTTTCAGGAATTAGGAGGAAATTAGAATGAAATATTAGCTTATGTCAGATCATGTACACATGGTAAGGACAGCACAGTTTGACCAGTGTGGATTTTCACAGGCTAATGCCAGTGTTTGAGGCTTGTGATTGTTAAGAGTTTTTAGTCCTATGTCATTACAGAACAGAAGTGTAGTCGAAGCCTGTACTGTATGTTCCCGACATTGGTTATACAAGGTCATGGCCTTTCTACAATACCTTGATAGCAAAAACTACTGAGGCCCTTAGGAAAGATGATGGAGAAAAAAAAAAGAAAAATACATGGGTGGAAAACAATCGCAAACATGAAAAAATACTTTTGCGTTCCCCAGAGAGTACTTGTAGTAAAAACACAAGCAAGGGATGGGACGATATACGATATTATCGCAATAAAAATGTATCGTGGTGAGTTTCCATTATCAGGATGATCGGGAATATCTTCACATGGCTTTACTTGAAATAGCTGTCTAGCGCGCTAGCACACAGTCCTATCTTGATTTCCTGGTTTATTTTGAACAAGGGGTTAGGGTTAGGGTTAGGGTTAGGGTGGGAGCGAGAGAGGGAGCCCAATTTCTTTCCACTAATTCCAAAATCCTAAACCTGTTACCATGGCTGAAGGCTTGGCTTTCCCGTTGTATCCCCTGCAAGAAAGCTGTTAAACTGAATTTGTGGAAATAGTGTAGATTCCAAAATACAGAAAAGGGAGATGAGGTGTTGATCTGTGATGCAATAAATATGTGTTTCTTAACAGAATGCATCATTATTATTATAATATTGTGTATAATATTGTGTATCGCAATTACGTTAACCAAGACAATTGGACAATCCTGATGCCGATTCAAAGTGCCCAATAGTTGGCCTGATGAATCGGCCTATTACTACCTCTTACTTCGAACTGAAGCTGCAACATCCAGGATTTCTTTCTCAGGCTGCTGACAAGACAGCTCCCGAAAAGTGAAATCAAAATATCTCCCCTGGTGGCTGGATGTTAGTTTAGGAAGCGTTTGATGAGCGAAGCACACATTTGAAACATCAATATTGTAGTAGATCATGTTAGTTTAATTGTGGGGAGCCAAACTTGGGACCACAATTAATATTCGATATAATATCACCTAACGTCAAAATATTCGCTCAGGGACAGCCAAATTGCTCCCCCTAACCCCACCCCCCGTGTGCTCCCCTCTTAGGCCTCCCATAAAAAAGAACTGCGGTTCCCGATGTTCTGCCTTCAAGCTGACTATGAAAACTTTTACCATCTATTGAGCCTCATTCATTCATACTTACAAACAAGAACACAACTCATGATTCATCAGTGATTTTTGAATTCCCAGTGTAATTATTTACATATTTAACATTTTTTCTCTTTTGTTTTTTTTATTATTATAGTGTGTGGTGAGTTCAAGGCCAGAAAACAACAGATAAAACACAGCTTGAAATGTGATGCATGCTGGCCCAAAAGGCATTTTCCCCAGACACAATTATTAGAAAAGGACCTCTGCTTAAATGACTAAATGAATATATTATCAACAAACGTATAACCCCATCTCAGTATAGTTTTGTATGAATCTTAATAAAAAAGTCACAAAAAATAGGGGGTGGGGGGGTGTATGTATGACATGCATTAAAAACATACTTCAGATTTTATGGGTTCAGTTGTATTTATTCTGGGTTTACTTTATCATTCCTTTCTCTTTCAGACTGGTGCTGACCTCTGCATACTGTAGATCAGTGGTCATTAAAATATAGTTATTATTATAATTATGTTTGGATTGTGTGTGTGTTTACAGCTTTTTATAGGCTGTTTTTATCAGCTTTATATGAACGTGGCCTTTGTAAAACACTAGCATCAGACTGGAAAATGTGTTCCTCATTTCACTAGACCTTTAAACCATTGCGTGCTTCACACTGACATTTTTCAGTAAATGGAGTTCTGTGTGTACCAGATGGAGACCTCTCACCCTTCACTGACATTCACTCTTGCTTCACTTCTCATTGTATTGTTTAACTTGGATGTAACTCGCCCTCTCTCTCTCTCTCCACTCCCTCTCAGAGATCAGCTCCATCAAACAGGCCAAGGAGCAGCAGGCAGCCGAGGCCCGAAGGCAAGCCACGCCCGTGGTGGGGGACATGAGGCCGCTGGCCGACGCCCTGCCGGAGCTCTCCCAGCTTGTCGCCCCCGCCGCAACGGCCCTCACCACTCGCCGCAAGAGTAGGAAAAACAAAGTGTAAGTGCCAAGGTGCCTGCTCTGGCAGGCATCGAGTGTCAACATTGTTGTCGATTTTTCAAGCGTGGTGCTCCATAATTATCACATTTCTTTTGTCCTTGAGAAGAGTAAAGTAAAACACGGATTTAGCAGCAGCGATGCAGTCAGTGTCAGCAGACTGACTGATGAGTCTCCATCTGTTGACTGTCACACTAAAAGTAGCACGTTGTCAGATGTTTAATCAACAAATGTTATTTGGATATAAAAAGTGCAGTAAAGGGAACAATGAGTCACATTAGGGTGAGTTGGTGTCACACATTTTAGACCTCTTACCAGTGTTTCATTATAGCTCCTTCCAGGTTTGTAATGAACGTTTCAGATTGGCACTTGGTATTGGCCAATATGTAATGTTCAGGTATCAGAATCGGTATCGGGCTTCTCTAGTCTATAAGCCAATAATCTGAATTTTAGGCCTAAAAATGTCTTAAATATGTTTTTAACAGCTAGGTTTAAAATTGCATTGATAATGGTCTTAAAAAGGTCTTAAATTTAACTGTTAAAACCTGCAAAAACTCTTATTCTAAAATGGTGTGTGTTGTGGAAAAAATTAAGTGTACTCAAAGCAGTCAGTATACAGTATATTATCCTTTCTTTTTATTAAGCTTTATTAGTAATGTCAGTCTGAAAATGTTCTCCGGTAGGGGAAACGTTGCCCTTTTCATTAACTATCAACACTTCTTTGGTAGCTATAATCCAGTGTGCACTCTGCTTTCTCCCCTAACTATGAGAAAAGTCATACTATTGCAAGATAAATGTGCAATTATGAAAAATATACTATAGAAAAACCTTACTATTTTGTCAAGTTTTAGGTGAAACTTTGATTCCCACCTAAATCTCAAATAATCCCAGATTTAGTGTTCCTAACAGTGGCCTTACTACTCCTTTATACCTGCTCATGGAGAATCAGTCATTTGTATGGCTCCACACTCGTCTCCTGTCAGAATTTCTGATCCTCTTCAGGAAGATGGATTAGCCTCATTGTCACTGCTTGAATAGGACTCGGGGTAATGAAGCAGGCCAGAGTGGCTCGTGCTGCACCTGAACCCAGTCTGGACTCAGGCAGGTCCGGTATTTCAGTGTGTGAGTCCAGAAAAGGGATAACTCTCCCAGAGTGGAGCGACTGACAGACATAAGATAGAGGCGGGTGAGTTTTGAGGTACGGGCTGTAAATTATGGAGCGATAAAGAGGCAGGACATCACAATAATGAAAGGAGGAGCCGTCAAACACAATCCTGCTGATTTGATGCAGAAGCCAAATAAAAGCCGTCACAGCAATTCCACAGGAAGCATCAATCCTGTCCGGCGAGACAGGCTTATACTATGGAATAGTTCAATGATCTCTCTACTCTTCGGAGCTTCCTATTCAGTCCGGTTCTGCTGCGGAGCCTCCTGCACTGCGTCATTTATGTGATGGAGTAGTTATTCTGGTCGTAAAAGTTTCACAGCTCCGAGTGGAGGCCTCATTTTCATCACATCCTGCTCTGCACTAATAAGAGATGAGTCCAGCGGGCAGCAGTGCGTTGGCTGCAACACTGTCAGAACAGCTTTGAGCTGTGGTTCCTGATGTGATACAAAATGGGATTTTATACAAGACTTTATTTTGGGCTTTATTCTGTAAAAAAAAAATTGGACCTCATGCAGCAACATTCTCTTAAATTGCTCTTATATTTTCTCCAAATTTTCTGTTAAGGGAATATATAAGCGAAATCAGCTTCAGATGCACCAAACATTCCTAACAATCCAAATCTGCTCTTACCCAGGTGTGCTGAATGATGAATCCCACTTAAATTGTCCGATTGTTTATTAGCATAGGTAATGCCCCATAAACATTATATTAGTGCAGGTGTTTGGCTGTTTGGCTGCAAATACATGGCAACAAAAAGGCTGTAAGGATACACAGACAGATCAAAGAATATATATATCTATATATCAATAGAAAAATAAACACACCGAATTAATTTTAAAAATACACTATAGTAGCTCAATAAAAAGTATAATATACAGTATAATAAACATCATAGCCTACTCCATAAATATAATAAGATAATAGGGCTGCACAATTAATTGAAATATTATCAAAATCGCAATATGGTCAAGTCCAGTATCCAAATCACTAAAGCTGCAAGTTGGTAAATGTGCAGGTAAAATGTGTGACAAACAGCATTATATTGAAGAACGAGAGGTCATTGAATGGTTTGATGAGAATGAAAATGATGTCAATCAATTGGGGAGGAAGGAGAGGGTCCCAGAGTCTTGGAGGTTTGTGTTGGTTGTTCCTTTAAATGGTCAATGATATATATCTAGATAAAATTCAACTTCAGCAGTAGTGAAATCCATATTTCAATGTACTGTTAAATAAATAAAGGTCCAGTGTGTATTATTTTGGAGGATCTGTTGGCAGAAATGGAATATAATATTCATAGGTATTTTTTCAGTGTATGATCAGCGGAAAATAAGTTGCCTTCCATGGAGTCCGCCATGTTGGACCACTAGGTTTCTACAGTAGTTCTACCAGAAGAGACAAACATGTTTTGCGCATTTTGCAGCCACTGTAGTATCTTCTTTGCACTTGGAAAGGGAGGGTGAATTGAGGGAGTATGGCTCAGCAGCCGTCTCATACAAAAGATCTGTGTTGTCTCTAATCGAGTGTTTTCCGCTGCGTAAGGACTGGATGACCAAAGCATCTCAGACCCATTCAGAAGCTGAATCCACGCAACATCATCCAGGAGTTTTATTATTTATATGTATCAGTGAACCGGTAGTATTTCTTTAGACCACAAATTTAATAATCCAATCATTATAATTACTCTAAAACATGACTTTATAATAGCATTTTTTATCTTCCACAAATTTATGATAAACTATTTGTTTTGTTTCTTTTTTTTTTGTTCTCGACTGCTTGTAAACTGTCCTCTTACCCAAGAGAAGAGCAAAAATAAGAGAACATTGGTGAATCCCAGAAATGAATGGGTACTAACAAAATAAGAACAAATCTTGGATACAAACAAAAATAAGAGATGACCTGTCATGTTGTAGTTGTGCGTGTAAAAATGTCCCTGTCTTCGTCCTGTCTGTCTCCTCCTTTCAGGCCGGTGAAGAGACCTGAGCCAACAGATTTCAGTCAGATGAAACAGTCACAGAAACGCAAACTCCTGTAAGCAGCCTTTCATATTCTTTCATATTCTTTCTTCTTTATTTGTTTCTGTCAACATCCCGCACATTTGGCAGTGAAATTACACTACCCTATTTCGCCTTTACCGCAGGGAGACGGAGACCAGCCGGTTTAGTGACGCAGTGAAGACCCTCTCGGCCAAAATGAATCCTTTAGCCGACATCGGCGAGCAGCTGAGGAAGAGGATGAGGCAGGAAGAAGAGCAAGGTCCCAGCTAACAGCAGCAGCAACTTCCACAGACTTGATTTTGTCAGGGAGACCCAACACTGGTACATCCTTGGCTTTAAAAGGAGGAAGAACCTGACTCGCTCTCGCATATGTCAACCACTGACTAAAGGAGTCCCAGACACAGTTGAGTGGCGTAAAGTGTAGTGTTTGTTAATGTTGACTGTAACGGATATCCTTTTAGTTTTATTATCCACGCTCTCTCTTCAGTAATAAATCCCAGTATCAAACAATCAATTTTCATGTGTATTTTCTATATGTTGGAGTCTATTTTCAGCTGCATTCATATTGGCTCCAACTCCAAACATTTAATATTCAATTGCAGCGTGTACAAACAAATCTGCCTTGTTTCTATCGACGCCTACACAACCGTTCCCACTCTTCTATTTTCAGTATCTTCTCATTGTGCTGTATTCAGAATAAGATCAGCTCCCAACACTGAGTGACTCATCAGCGATAACCATAGCAACTCCACTGATCCATGTAAATGAACATCTTGTCAGGGCAACACTGAGCCACAAACTGAATGAAAATATTGTCAAACTGTCATCAGTGAGCACATCAACATGTTATGGGGAGATCTGGAAATCACTATACAAATATGTGTGTGAACCAGGGTTGTCACATTGTCAGATTTTTACTACTCGATTACAGCGACCAATAATTCATAACAATGATATTAAATCAACAAGTCATCTTCAACTTTTATTTTTTTGGCAAATTAATTACACTCAGATACATGTTCTTAACACGACATCAATATTTTCATTTTTTAAATATTACTGGTTATTGGCAATACCAGTATATAGCGACACCCCAAATGTGAATATGGACTTTCAGAAGGAAACTCGCCTTGATTTGTTATAGTGCCCAAACCTTTCCCCAAACAGTGCTGATGTATTGAATAAAATGAAGCTGATAATAAACTAATTATTAATCATAATAAAAATCTGGTAATAAAACTCACATAAAAGCTTTTTGCCCTCAGTACAAAGTGTTTTTCTTCTTATAATTATTGACCTTTTCTTCTAAGTCCCGCCCTTTTGGAACCACCACTTTCTCCTTTCCTGTACTAAGATATGCTATGTGCTTGGCTTTGTTGAAAAGACAACCACAATTTTAAGATATTTAAACGATAAGAAGGTGCCACAGTCATATCTTAAAGATCCAGTGTGTAGGATTTAGTTACACACTGGACTTTTAAGTTGGGTAATATTAGCAAACGCTACCTAACTAGCTAGCTAATCAACATTAGTCATTAGATAATTAGCTAACATTAGCTATCAGATCTAATTAAAAAGCTAACAATTAATATAGATTAGGTACCTAGTTTGCTAGCATTTGAGTCTGTGGCAAAATGCTAGCTAACTTGTTAACTGACTGGCTAATTAACTAACTTAAGATGTGACTATTATGTAATTTTTCTAATTTTTCTGTAATCTTTTATAGCACCAGTATGTAGCATTTAGCGGCATCTAGTGGTGGAGTTGTAGATTGCAACTAACTGAACACCGCTTGTGTCTCTTTTGACTACCTGAGAATGAGAGCAGGCTGTGAAGTGTGTAGGAGGAACTAGTGTGGCCACAAAAGCCACAAAAAACGCAAAAGGCTCTATTTACAGCCAGTGTTTGGTTTGTCCATTCTGGGCTACTGTAGAAACATGGTGGATCAACATGGCGGACTTCATTGAAGACAACCTGTGGCATCTGTAGATCCCTCTATGATCACTGAGGGGCTCCATGTGAAACGCTATCTTTCTCCTTGATGGGTACATTAGATAAGCACTGTATGAAATGTGGAAGATATTCTTAAAGCTCAGCCTTTTGTCATAACAAAGTCTCAATCATTTTATACTGCACAGCCTTTCCGTACATAATATACACACAGCTTATACATTATGTTACATACTCTACATCTGAAAGTGTCTCATAATTACAAGATAAGTCATGATTGTGCATAAATAAGCCTGCACAGTAACAAACTTCCTGATCAGCAGTCAACTGAAAACAGTCATGAGTTTAAGCCTAAAGTTCTGACTGATTCCATATTACATGAATTTGTAGCCACCACTTGTGCATCTTCAGGTAGGATTACCATGAAGAGAGTCCGATTAACTTTATTTGGGTTCTTTTTGGCATTTTGGACCCAATGTTGATAGTGCCAGTTAAGACCTACAGGAAACAGGAGAATATGTGTAGCAAATTCCCCCTGCCATAATCAAACCAGGGATGCTGAGAGTACATCTCAGCATGTAGCTGAAAATCACACAATGCTGATGCTTGTGTGATCCATATGTTAATGTATGGATCCATGGATCTATGGATATTATATTCCATTTCATTCCAGTCAATATGTATTGTTATTGATGACTGAGGTTACACTATGTTGAGGGTTAGTAGAAATAGAAAATACCTCAAATTGTACTTACAGTAAGTACAGTACTTGACTGCATGTACTTAGTTATATTTAATAACTGAATGCTTCTTACGACTTTAAAAAAACTGTAAGTTAATGTTCAGTTGCAGTGTGTGACAGCTGCAAGGACAGAGAAGAAAAACAATGAAATCCTCGGAAAAGAAAAGAGACATTGTGAAGTTTTCCAGTTCCATCTCGTCCTGTGAACTCCTCCGCACCATGTACGTAAGAAGATATGGAAGAGGAAAAAAAAGTGAGACTCATCCCCACAGCCCTCTGGAAGGCTTTGCTATGATTAGATTAGAAGTAAGAAAAACCTAATCAATACTGCTGCGGGCCATTAGGACTTATTAATAATGGATACTATGGGAAGAGCTCAGTGTCAAATTAAAAGTAATCAGAGCTCATTGTTAGCAACCTTCAACGTATACTGAATATATGAAGCAGTGGATGTGTTCCTCGTGTATTCGTCAGTCAGCACAGACATTTTACTTCCATCTCAGACAGGTGTGGACATATTCTCTTTTTTTTCCAAAATCTCCTTTGACTGGAGTGTTAAATGACTTGTTGCGCAACTGCTGTCCTACATTCCTGCACGGCCAAATGGAGCCTGGCATTGAAGAGAGACATGACAGAGACACTCTGTCTGGTCACCAGCTGATACTCAGTGACAGAAGAGGATATGACCCAACGTAAACACAGGAGAGACAGGCAGGAAGAGGATTAGAAGACCAGGCTGCAACACGTCTCCAAACTTAGGACATGTAACAAGAATTATGTTTGAATGACATGAAACAGGAACATGGAGGCCGATTATGATGTAACTAAATCACAATCCAAAGACCCAAATAGGATTTCATAAGCTAAATAGTCAGCATCTGAATTACAGGAATTCCAATCATAAAAACTGATCATATATTATAATTTTTTCAGGAATTAAAGTTGCAAAGAACAGACAAACTATTGGTAAAGCTAAGTTGTACAATAGTCCTTTGACTCACAGATGTTTGAAATGTGACAGGCAGAAACATAAGTTTATTGCATTATTTGATAAGTTACGATAAAAACACCTAGAAAACATTCTCGCACATTGTTACAAGCTAATCATTAAAGGTTATATGAAATTCACTTGCCACTAGATGTCGCACTAGAACACCAGCATCTCAGACCAGAGCAACACCTGCTACAGCCAACCAAACCAGTACTTTTACTTAGCAGATAATCAAAAAACACACCTCAAACCGGACAAACAAAACAAAACTCACCAGAACAGTCTTTGTTAATATTTCCACAGTCTTTCCACCAATCATCAACACTAGTTTGGTCAAAATAAACCCTTAATTTACTACGTGTGATAAGAAAATATTCAGAAAATGGCCTTCTATAGGAGATGCGAAGATAATCTTTGGGGACATATGCGCATGTCAGAATACGTCCACTAAAAGTGCTTGTTTGTTCCACTGACAGGCTCAGATTGTTATTCTAAGTGTCTGACAAGATTATGGAAGGGATAGAACTTTAGTTTAACCAGAAACAGGCTTAATATCGCAATTGCGCGCGACCAGACTCCATAGACAAAAACAGTAATTTTACCTCTCATATCATTGTAACATCATAACTTCATTCAAAGTGGACAGTAACAAAATAAAATTCACTAAAAACATCTTTGTTAGTCTTTCCACTGTTCCAACAATAACCAACTCCGGTTTGGTCGATGTAAAACCTTAACTCACCAATGTAGATCAGTGATCGGAATGTAGAGCTATTCAACACTTGTTTTAACAAAAAAATATCGCTTACAGCACCTTTAATAGCACATACATAAATGAATATCCACAAGAAGAAGAGTATTCAATGTGATGTCACTGATTCCGAATGAAAACATAATTTAGTAAACAGTGAGAAGTTTGTTTAAAATCCTTTCTTTACAGTGTAACCACATGGGTCCTGTGAGTATTTCTGTTGGGTTATATTTCTCAACATGAACTGCATTGAGCTTCACAGAGCTGCTTTTTATGGAAAACCCTACTTGATATTCATATATATTTAAATAACATTTCCTGCAGTTTTGCATATTTTGCAACAAAAACCTGTGTACATTTTACACAACTGCCAACCAGTCACAACGGTCTTTTCTTGAAGGCTCTAGGCCCAGAGGATCAAAAGACAGGAGCCCACACACTGTACAATACTTCAGCAACACATTTATTAGACCATCAAACAATGTTTCAATCCACAAGGGGGTCTTTGTCAGATCAAACAGGACCTGATGAAGATCTGTCAAGATCCCCCCCTGTAGATCCAAATGTTGTTTAGTGGTCTAATGAAGGTGCAGGAGGAGCAGTGTGTGGGCTCTCATCCTTTCATCTTCATCCCTCAAAGTTTTTACATTGATTTCCTACTTTTCAGACAGCTATTGGCTTTAGTTCATTCCACTGTGCTGTGAAAATCAGTGTGAAGGGAGCATAATTATATGACTCCACAGCATACATTTATTTAAGCAGACAATGTTTTACTCCTGCAGAGCCCAGCAGCTGTCAGAAGTTAATGTTTTGTTCTTTGTTATGATAATTAACAGTAGTAATAAGTGCTCTTAAATTACTGTCAGGTTACTTTAACATGGTTAGATGGATCTAATAAGAAGTTGCTGTTGGGCCACTGATGACCTTATTTCATAAAATGAACCATGTGAGCACAATATAACTAACTGAGGCCTTAAAGGTCCAGGGTGTAACATTTAGGATGATCTATTGTCAAAAATTTAATATAATATTCATAGGTATGTTTTCATTAGTATATAAAATCACGAAAAGTATACTCAATATTAGTCCGATACTGGCCAGAATCACTGGATTGGATATTAGAGGGGGGAAAAGTATAATCCAATGCAATCAATTATCTTAAACTATTACATAAAGCTCCAACTTTTAGATGGCTAGGTTAAGCAAAGTTCTTCTATACAAATATATTATAAACAGCTAAGTTGTCTAAAAGAGAGAAAAAGACGGTATAGTATTGGTATCGGTATCGGACATGAAATAGTGGTATCGAGCCATCCCTACTCTAGATAGGGCTGTTCGCATTTATTGCACGATTTGCGGCCACCGTAGTTTCTCCCTTGCACTTTGGAAAGTGAGAATGAACCGAAGGAGTTGCAATCTGCAATTACACCACTAGATGCCACTGAATCCTATTGGTCTTTTAAAGAATAAGTCTGGTTTTATTCTATATTTTTGTCACCAGATCTCATGAAAAGACCTAAACCAACAATGTGTGTGTCCGTCGCTCAATAAAGTGCTGCAGGAACTTCTAAAACCTGGAACTGAGTTAGCATTTTAGCACCTCCTTTTCCCTAACCTTGATTCGATGGGTTTTTGAATAGGTTTTTGGTTAGATGCCTGAAATAAGGTCTGTGTTAACACAAGCTTAAGAGATGTTCACGCTTTGTTCTACGACATAAAATACATCAGTAAATATAGCACCTGTGAATGTTGAAGCTTTTACGTGTCTTAAAAAGGGGGTTTCCCTCATTTCATTTGCCAGGTTTCATACAA